TATATATATATATATATATATATATATATATATACATGTATATATATATATGTATGTATATACATATATATATATATATTTAAAAGAGAGCGAGAGTGCTCTACACTTCTTTGCGAGAATACGAGCTTTGGGTAGAAATTTGAGGAGTTATCAAATTAAACAATACAAAAGTGCAAATAGTTTGTTTAACGTGATAAAGGGACGAACGTGATTCGACCCCGAACGTAATTTTCGTCTTAGTTGTGGGTAGCCCATGTGAGAAACTCGCGGGCTTCCGTGATAAAATGCGCATTCGATTGGTAAACGGGAATATCGAATTTACTCTATCTTATTCTCTCTCTTGAGCCTATATAAACATTCATATTATATTCAACAGAATTAGTTAGTATATACGTTTGACTGGATATTGTAAGGTCGAAACCCGTGTCTCAAGTGAAAATAAACCAATTACTATCGGAAAATTCTCTCGAATCGGAAAACATGTACATATGATCGATATTTAAAACAGCGATCTTTTCGAACAGTTCGCAAGCGTTTATTACTGTAACAAATCATACGGTGCCTAGATACTGGATTAATTTCGAGAAAGGGAAATAGCGAGTATGTACGTAACTTTACGTAGGACTTGGTGAATACAAGAACATCGGTGAACAATTATAAACGTCTTATAATACTATGTCAATGATGAAATAAAAATACATTTTATATTCTACAAATCGTTGCGATCTTTTCGGCACCCTTATAATTTCATTAAAAAATGTAATGCCATTTCATAGAGGGGAACAATTAATTTGTATTATCAGGTAAGTACTGGGATACTTAATGGTTCATTAATAGAATGGAGTTTGTACATGAATGATAAATATTTAAAATCAACATTATTTATTTTATAGTAAATAACTACAAAGTATGTATATATAAAATTAGATAGAAATTATTTTTCAATATACACTTTCGATGGTTTTTTTTCTTGCTCAACTAGATAATGTATGTTTAACACACGAAGATAAGATTTGATTTGCAAGTGTGTCATATAACCACCAAAGAGTGCTTGAAGAATGCAAAGTAATGCGATATTGGGAATCATGGGTTTATAAACCTGCCGTACAATTGTAAGAACTTTTTTAAACTCATATGCATATGGCATATTGTGAGCTCCACTGCCAACAACCTACAAGTCAAATATGCAAGTATGTCAAATATGTAAGCATGTGTATATAAATTTTAACATAAAAATTCAAGGATGATTTATGGTACAATATGTAATTTACCTCATATAATTGAACCTATATATATATATATATATATATATATATATATATATATATATATAAAATGTAAAAATTATAATTATGATTATGACATATCTTAGATGTGATAATTGATTATATATAATTGATATATATCACAATGACATTAAATTTATATTCACCGCAAAGTTAATAAGTGGTGTTGTAAGTACTGGTACAACTAGTCCAAAGAATGATTGTATTAAAGCACCTCTGAATTCCAAGCATAAGGGACAGGTCATCTCTAATAACAGTATTTTGTCATAGATAATCTAAAAGTAATTTATTTGGCATTATTCCTTGTTGGATCATTGTTGTTGAGTATTTTTATCCTTGATTGAACTTGATTAACTTTTGTTATACATATATATACACACATATGTATACAATAAATAATACCTGTGTATGAAAGAGAGTTGTTAAAATGGCTGGACCTGGTACAAGAGTGATCATCGAAAGCATCTGGCCAATAGAGCGTAGTTTTAATATCCGTCTAAACCGTCTGTTGATGTACCAAGCCGATAGTGATGCCGCTATACCAAGAACACCGCGTCCATGTATCAGTGACCATCTGGGTAAAGATTCATCGTTTTACGAGTGTGTCGTTACGCTTACATGTTCAAGGTTCCTTGTACTAGATCTGAATATAAATAACAAATAATTCAATTCAAAGGAACGTGCTGTCAGAACGAAGAAAAATAGCGGCGATTTTCGGTAGGAAATGCATGATGATTACGTACACCTCGCTTTGTGGCTTCCAATTTGCAATGAGCGACATTTGCGTTAATAAAGCCTCTGATTTCGTTAATATCACAGCATTTTTCGGTAATTTGTGTTTTATCTGTTCCTTAATTATATCCATTTTTCGGCGTTCTCTCTCCTCAGGTTATGAGACACCGACACCACGCACTGCACACTGCTGCACATGTAATCGCAATTCAGTGTATTTGTTTTGCTGGCATTTTTAGACTCGGCGGATTGGCTATTATTGCAAGGTGTAGTTCCAAAGTCTCCGTTACGAGTCGCTACGAATCGCTACATCTTTGGTAAAAAATTAAGGTTGTAGTATAACTCAACGACTGATCAGAAAAACATTGTATTTTGCAATAGTACAACTCAACAAGCGGAGGCTTTTCGCCTTTCGCTCTTCTCCTTTCTTTTTTTCTTCTTTTCTTTCTGATAAATGAGTGCGTTAAATATTATTAATAACAATTCGTTAGGGATTTTAAATAGTTGTGAAAATATTAAAAATTAATATATCATTTCTTATATTTTAAGATACGATCGATAATTAGGTGTAGATATGTTCTATTGTATCTATTATTTGGATGTTCTTTTTTTCTTTTATTATCAAAGAAAGAAACGAGAGCAACAAAGTGCAAAAAGTGTAAGTAACACCTCATACCAAAGGACACATCGTTTAAACCATAGACATAATATATCTAGACCGAGCGTTGAGGAATTCGCGCGAACGCATGACGGGAAGTTGGATCGAGCTGACCGCACTAAAGTGCAGTTCAGCTCCACTTTCCTGGTATCTGTACGGATAGAAAGTCACAAACGTTATATTTGGCGACTAAATAATTTTTTATTTGCTCTTTGCATTATTATCGAGGTCGGTACAGAGCCTGATTTTGCAGTTGGCCCCTTATAAATTTATAACATATTAAAATGTGAGCTCAATACTGCACCTGCGTCGAATATTCAAATAATTTATTCGATATTTATTTCAATCTTTTCTCCCAAAAATCGTCTTGTACCGACTTGCAGACGTTTATCCTGATTACAAATACTGCAATTATTAAGCCATTCTTTCTGTATTTTGGCCACGATTTCTTTTCTACATTTGCCTAGTTCGTGGCTCTCCGCCAGATATCTCTAATATGACTCCTGCAGACCCTTATGCAGGATTCATACGTCCGATGCGTCCGATGTCCGACGTACGATGTCCAATATCCAATAGGAGAATAGCTTTCTAATAGAGAATTCAATTCTCCATTGGAAAGTTGTTCTCCTATTGGATATCGAATGCAGTATGAATCCTCCATTGATTGTCTTGAAATAAGATTCGACTATGAATACCGTCCTATGGTCTAGATATATTATGTCTATGGTTTAAACAGAGAGAAGCATGAGAGCGGCCACCAGCCTGATTTCAATGGCCAGAGCTAGGAGCATTTTTGAGACGCCATCTAACAAAGTGCGTCTTTACTACGTTCATTAGGCGCATTTTCGCGATGGTAATGATACGCCTGGTTCGTGCCCGTTACTTCCGTACAATGATAGTAAGTTAGAAAAAGATAGATATCCAATCACTCTATCCTTGTCTCACTATTGATGAGTAGACCGCGCGTTGTAGGCACAAAGCGAGCGATATTATCGCAAAACTAGATCATCTCTCACCAGTCTCGTCTTTCTCGCGCTGCGTTCTGCGTAATTTTGCAAAGAAAAAAGATTTGGAAACTGGATATAAAACAATAAATAAATATACAAGCTTCCCAAGTAGCACAGCAGCATCTGCAAAGCGCTCAAAAAGCGCTTTGCAAATGCTTTGTGCTAGGTGGATTAAACCTAGTTATTGTTATATACTTTTATTATAAAAATATATAACAATAACTGGGCAACGGCGATAATAACTAATTAAAGATGAGGTTAAGAAATTGTCGTAACGCTCGAGTTGCTTTCCTATCCGTAATAGCAATAATTAAATAATAACCGAATAAATTAAATAAGAACTAAATAAAGAAGTAATAATATATACTCGAGTAGTAAATGGTAGTGATAATATTTGCTCGACAATAGTGTGATAATATTCGTGAGTGGATAATAACGAAATAATAATGATCGAATAATGGGTAATAACAATATCTAGGTACGGCTCTAACAAAAACTCTAGACTTCACAAAAACTAGTAAACCGACCGTCGTAACGGCCGCTCGGGTCGTTGACTGAGCGGCGCTGGGGCGGCGCTGGGGCGGCGCTGGGGGGGAGCGGCGCAGCCAGACGCGCGTCACGCCATAACGCTACCAGCCGCCGAGGCGAGTACATCGCGAAAGTTGCCGCGTTATTTTCTAAATTATTTCGCGCCGATTTTTAATACCGCATTTTGACTTCGCCACAATTAAGGCAATAATTAACACGAATTGAGACGCGTACTTATCACGCGAGCAGGTGTTATGGGCTTTACCGTAACGGGTAATTACCGCATTTAATTTACTTTTTTATTTGTTGGATACAGAAACGTTGCGACCGAGTTCCTCAATGCCGATCAAATATTATTATCATCCATTTATTATTTAAGTATTATTATTTCTTTATTCGATTGTCATTTAACTATTTTTATTACATATTGGGAAGCAACTCAAGCGTGCCATTACGACTATTTCCTTACCTCGTCTTGCTGTGGTGTGTAATTAATTGATATTATCGGATATTTATACGGTTGTCGATCAGACATTATTATCATCACCTATTAATTAATCGGGTATTATTATTTCTTTATTCGGCTATCGTTTAATTATTTTTTATTGCACATTGGGAAGGAACTCGAGCGTGCCGTTACGACAATTTCTTTTCCTCGTTTTGCTGTCGCGTGTAACTAATTGATACTAAATTATTAAATTACTAAATTAATTTAAATTTCTGTCACAGAGATCCAATAGAGCAGACGCAGTTACGCGACTCTAGGGGATGCGAGGACTGGGGGATGCCGCGCCGGAGGATTCGGCTTGGGCCTGGCAGAGTTGGCGCGAAAGTAAGTTTCACTCATTTGAATTCATAATTTCGATAAATCCGACAAAACTGAAAATTCTCTTGTTTGAAATCGAGTTCTTTAATGCCTCCATTGTTATGTGTAATACTAAATTAAATCTGTTTTCTGTTGCAGAGACGAAGCAGACGACCAGCCAACTCTTAGGGGCTGCTGCGCCGGAGGATCTGGCTCGGGCCGAGCGGGGTTAGCTCGAAGGTAAGCTACATTAATTAGTATTTGTTATTAGAAATCCGACAAGATTGATAATTCTCTTGGTCGAAATCGAGATAATTTGAATCGAGTCAAAGATTGCGTTAAATCGTTATTACACGTGGAAAAAATTTTTTCTGAGTAACATCACCACTTGAAAAATTTTTATTTGTTCTGATTAAAAGATTTATTTGCAACGTCGAGAAAAAGAATAGTGGAATATTCCAAGTGTGAATGCATTCCGAAAAATTCTTCTAGCGTAAAAAATATTGTTTTTTTTTTAAATCAATCTTCTTCACTTAAATTGTAATCAATGCACGAATCTAATCGGCGAAATGGCATTTTTCTGTTTCAGAAATGAAAGCAGAATGTGGCTACCCTGATCGGCGGTTTGGTGAGTCAAAACAAGAAACATTGATAATAGAAAGACAAAATGTCTTTCGTAGTAGTGCATGCTTATCGAATCAATGCGATTTACTTTGCTATAGTTGTAATATGTGTACGTGCCGTCCAATAAAAATCACACTGCTCGAAACAATTAGAAGATCGCTTTTTCAAATAATAATATTAGTAATAATGCATATTTTACATAAATTGGGCAAATAAATTTTCAAGCATTTTTCTCCCAATATATATATTTATTAATTGATTAACTTAGAATATTGATTGGTCGATGATTTTTGTCGAAGGAAATTTTGATTAATCAAACTCCAACACTATCTGGTAGAAGCTTAAAGTATTGAGTATACGCTCAGAACATTCAAAATTTTGAAAAATTATTATATTTTGTTGAATGCGATCTTCCAGATGTCTCGAGCAGTGCGCCAACGCGCAAAGAGATTGTGTCAACGCGCAAATGCGCCACAAAAAATGCGCAATCACATCATCCGCGTCATAAGTCTTCCGTCAGTTGTTAATTTTTTCAATTTTCTCTCGCGTAAACTTGAATCGCGATTGTATTTCAAAAAGTAGAGTTCATGCTTCGTTATTAAGTAAAATTCGATATCGTGAGGCACCTGCGCGAAGCGATCTAACGTGATTTGAAATAAAGTACCCGCAAAATTAATTTCACGATCGTCAGAAAATTTTCAGATTTCAATTTTTCACTTAGAGTTAAAGTTTCCTAACGCGACACAATAGAGACAATGCTAGCGATAACTTCGCGTTGATCCCTTGCGAAAAACGCGATGTACACAAGTTAGACATGCGAGCAGTTGTTTGTTCACTTATGCGGTGCGCGACAAGTTCCATGGAACGAAGACAAACGTCTCACGCGGTAAAATTTTTTGCGCGTGAATTTTGAATTTACTTCAATACTTTTGATTTCGTTACATTTCGAGTGAATTTTGAATAGAATATTTATCTCTATCGTTACAAATAGTTTTTAATTTTTCATTCACGCTCGCGTTCAAAATTATTAATTTGATAGGTTTGAGAATTTCTCGGGATCGTATTTGCGGAAGAGTCGCGAGCGAACTTTGCAAAAGTATTGCGGTTGTTATCCGCAAAAGTATTGCGGAGCTGTTACCCGCAAAAATATTGCGGAATTGCCTTTGCAAAAGTATTGCAGAGTTGTTATCCGCAAAAACGGAATTGCGGAATTGTTTCGCAAAAAATATTGCGGAGCTGTATTGCAGCCTACTACGCTGCACCCACGAAACGTTATATTAGGGATATTCCGTGTCGTACGTGAGAATTTTGCACAGATTACTTAGTCCACGCATCAAAAGATTTCGCGAGATTGGCCTTCGTGTGTTCCATTCGCTCGCGGATTCCGTTTTCTTCGTAAGAGATTCGCGTCGCGCGTGTATCAAAGCGATATACTACAATTCGATTGGACCGTTGCTGAATTCGTCACACATTCTCGTCGTTTATCCGAAAGGCCGACATTTTCTCGAAGATGCAGTTCGCGATATTTCATACGCAATTTGCAACTTGGAGTGTATCTCCCAAAAGAGACGGGATTTTTCGTAAAACCTCCGTTAGATTACCGCGGACGGGAGTGAATTACAGGCGACGCGGGACGCGAGGACCATTGCAGTGTCAGATGCAGTGACAGGATGACTGGTGGACCCTGGACAACGTGGGACGACGCGCAATGGT